TTTTAACTTCTATTAAGATTATTAGTAAAGAGTCTAAAATCTGGCTGCCAATAATTATCAGCGATGCTTTTATTATCAATTTGACACATTTAATTAAGTTTAATCTCTTAACCTTTCGTAGGCAAAATTTCGCTTGCAGAAGAAGATTATTAGTATTGTAGTTTTTCATTAAAATCTAAAATCCAACTGCTACTAAATTATTACGAATAGATCGTTTGATATTTTTATATAGTGGCGTACTACAATAGCGAAGCAATAAGTATTTTCAAAATGTAAACGTATAGATACACTTTCACATTTCACGATGTTATAAAGGGTCAAGCTTCGATATGAAAGTGGCACAAATAAAAAGGAAAAAAAAAAAACGCGATTTTCGAGTTATCACCAAAGAAACGTTTCTCGATCAATTATGAAAATCTAATTCATTCATCTTCATAATTTGGCTGGTACAAAGTAATTATGTCGCTCTTCCGGATTCATGTGACGATGTGCTGTATTTTGTAAATGCGTCTCGTTGATAAATTACGTTCTGGTTATCATTACGAACAAATGCGTGGACTAATAATGTGGGAAGTATATTATTTCGTCGATTATGTTTGCAACAACGAAAATGTTGAAAAACAATTTTTCGCTTCTCTTTGAAAAATTCTTTCCTTTTTTAGTCGCTTTTTATAATCGTTTGAAGTATAGTAGAATTTGTAGAATATTCTCTTAGCGTTATGTTTAGTTAAAGCTATCTTTCTCAAAGGCACGTTCATTATTCTTCTTTGTATATTATATTACTAGTCGGATTCTGTAGTATGTAAGTCTGTAGGGGATTGGCTAAAAGATTAAACTATCTTTGCAACTTTGAAATAATTTAAGTTTTCTTCTCAATGGATGACGGGATAAGCTCTTAAGAGATCGTTTTACAAAGGTCGCAATAATAACCTAGTTATACTACTTAAAGTAATAGTTGTAACGCTCTGGTGATGGTGTTTGACTCGTATCTCGTTCGAAACATCTTCATCTCCTTCAAGCAACGCAGATACTCATGAAATACGCGTTTATCTGAAAGCTAAATTGCTTTTTAAGCTCACTCTAGGAAATTCTTTGCACTCCCCTGGCTGCATAACTGAGATACGAAATTTTTTAATTTACGACGTTTCCCTGAATTTCACATTGACTTTTCAATATTCTCCAATATCTAAGTGAAAAAGGGATAAATATAATGAAGTACAAAACGTTTAAATGAAAGCATATTTAAATAAAGCAAACATCACAGAAAAGAAAACTAAATTATAATGTCATAAGAGTAGCATCAATTTTGATGTTAATGAAGAATTAGATATTTTATTTCTTTATGAAACGAAGTGCTGAAAATGGAAAAGTTTCTTAGGAGCATCCGGTGAATCATTCCCTAATAGAAATTAAAATATTCATGATTTCCATTAGATCTTCATGACATGATTACCGGAAAATATGTCCCAAACACACGAATTCATTCATATTGTATTCGATTATAAGTAGACAGTTGAATCGTTCGCGATTTTCGCAAATGAAAGTTCAAACTACATAATGAACGAATCTGTTTTCTATTATTTTTCACTGACACGTTCATCTACAGTGTACAGTTGTCGTCTTTCATCCGCGTATATTATTTTTATTATGATTTTCATACTGTTTTATTATTTATTATTATCATTATTATTTTCACCCGCAACAAATTTTAAGTATTTTAAAGAAAAATATTGAATTGCTAAATATTTAGACATAAATTAGAAAAGACGATGCAAAAGCATAAATAAATTAAAATCATAAAGTTTACTATGTAATTACCAGAAATGCATTAAAGTGTACGAAACGTGTTTTTATTACAATATTATCATGAATATGATAATTATGGGTATAATAATATTATGAAAATAAATTTCATTTGCTTTACTGTACATGCAGAGTATGGAGATATAGATTTTCCTATTTTCAAATTTCTCCTCTAAAGAGAAATGTAAGAAACATCGTCAATATTAGAATCTGTCTTGTCCAATCTTAATTTAATAATAAATCGAAATCCACAGATTCTCTAAAATTCTCCGTCTTTTTCTGCCGATATATTTTATACATCAATGTCTGAAATTTCAACATTTAAAATTCAATGTTTGAAATTATATTTTAAATCCAATGCTTACTGATTCGTATTCAAGCGTATATCGAGGATTTCGAATGCGTGTTCCTTGCACCTTTGATGCCTTTGTGTCTAAGATTAACGCCATGTTATTGTAAAAATAAATTTTACTCTACGTAGAGTGTGCCGATGCAGTTTATATTTTGACGTAGGGTTAGCTTACGTCAAAGAATGGTTCGTACATGATTACGGCGTGAATCGATAAATACATACGTTACGCCGTAATGAAGTACGGCCTCTTTCATAAAGTTCGCCAGGACGCTTCGTTCGAATCCGCTACTTTTTTTCAACACCGCGAATTACATCTGAAAACTTTACGTCCGTCTGAAAGATCATGCCAGAAATGATGAATTTGCATCGTCGTTCCAGGTAAAACGAGGCGTAGAGCATCAGAAAGTCCACGACGTCCAAGGAAGAAACGCAAACACTCGAAAAGCCCGAACATCCTCCACGGCGTAGTTCAGGACGTTCAGGCGGGTCTTGAATCACGTTTGGAGCTTTTTGGGTTGGACGGTGATCAAGATCTTGCATTGATAAACTTTGAAAGGACTCGGGAAACTCTTAGCGATTCCTGCGAATACCCGCAGTTGCACCGAAGTGCCTCCTACTTTCCGCAAAGTACAGCTCAATTGTAAGTGTAGTCGCTGACAACATGTGAAACATAACACGTGAACAGAAAAGTGAACGAAAGTATTCGCACGCTTGGTGAACAATTCTCGTCTATATCTTAAACTGTTCAACAATTGTATGACAATCCAGTTGGCACCGTTTCGAAGCGTGAAGCCTCCATTTTTGTTAATCTTTTTCTCTTTTTCTGAGATGTTGTTCATTTGTCGACTGGACTGCGAATTTTTATATATCTATGGAAATCGAAGATTATGCAAAATGGAAAAAGACATAAAATATTCAAACAATAATATTAATTATAATTCTGTGTAGAAGGAACGATCTTCTATTTAGGTTTCTTCAATTACGTTCATAAACATTTAAACATGCATGGAAATCTGGAAAATTAAAGTCCTCTCTTCAAACTGTATATTACGCTATTTTGGATTAAACAACGAAATGTTACGATTTCTTGAATTTTTGTTGTTCAACTCTGATGTTTAAAGTTCAATAAAATGGCGAGAAAAAGATCGTACAGCAAGTTTCTGCGGAGGATTGATGTAAATTAAAGACTTTTCTATTCTCGAGATTCTGGTAGATCTAGTCAGTGATCTTGAAGGCGCTTAAATTTTTACAATTTTCGACAAAAAAAGTCTTCTATTCTTGTATTTTCTATCTGGTGCATGATGTAAAAACATCTTTGGGAAAAAACTCAAGTAGAAATTTCACGCTTTACAACGAATTATTAAATTAATCGAATTTTACTGTACGATTGTTGCTTTGTTTTGCAATTTAAAGTATATTGATAATGTTTCATCGAGTACGCGAATATTTTTTGTTCATCTGCATAGACTTCGAACAAGCTGAATCGATCAACCAAGAAAATTTGCAAAATGATCAAACAGAAGGAAAGAATCGTGTTTTACCACGTGCTTCGGGTCGTTTCATATCTTTCAGCTTAATTGTACATTTCATAAAGTTTCATGTTACGTGTTGTTTATCACTCGCCTGGCACGAGAGTGGCATCCCCTGAAATATTGCAATCTCGCGCGCTGACGAAGGTACATTCACAGGCATGTTCGCGAAGAAAGGAACTCGATTTTCCTGTAAGTGCAATATACTGCGAAACTGGGTCATCTCGGTGCGTAGTTGCACGTCTCTTCGTTAGATGTTCACCCAATACGGTTTCATACTGGAATCGTTTGGCGAACAAAGGGTATTCGACTGTGTAATGAAACTCTGATTGACGGTGACGGTTGTTAGGGGGGAAGATCAAGGAGAAACGTCATTGTGCCTCCAGGCCTTTTTTTTTCGTCAGCCTACTTTAATAATCGCTTTGAAATCGAAATGTTGTTCGGAAGACAAGTAATACATAAAGTTGCATACTTATGATATCTGAAAATACCAATATCTAACATCTAAATATCGGCGTTAAAATATATATATATTTTTTAATTTTTTCAATAAATATTTTATGCTTCGAAGTCTTTTTCAATGATCTGTATATATTTTGTTCTCTTATATCTTTTGTCTGCTTTTAAAGTAATTGCTAAAGGAAACTATATACGTATATTGTGTGGAACGGTCTGACCTAATGTAAGGTTATACTACTTACAAGGAGCTTAAAACTTGTTATGAAAATTACGCGTTCTTACGAGTGTTTGTACGTGTATAGTTTCTACGTGTATAGTTGGCACGAGATCGACAATAGCTTTCCTTTCCTGTTCGACGTAATGATGTGGTTCTCACGAGCTGCTGCACATTGAAGCGCTTCTATCCATATTTTTTATCACGACTCTTCCAACTTTGCTTCTCCGAGACTTCTTGATTCCCCTTGCAATTTAATTCCGGAAATTTCCTGAACGATTTACGTTGATTCGAGTCGCACGAGCCACAGCACGGGCTTTGCTTGTTCAATTAAACAAAGAAGTGATTTTCATTTATTTTACTTCCAAAGCACGAACGTCTGACTTGCCACAGTTAAGAAGACTTGTCGTAATACATATATACACGCGACTGCATGCACACTTTTCTTTATTTAATCTCAATTTAGAAAGTGATGCTCGCGAAAAATGTAACGTGACCTATATTACGAGTACGTCAGCTAGATGTTTTATCAAGCAGCTTTGTCTCGCACACTTCTGGATCATGCCACCTGCACGAAAGTCGCAATGTCTTTAACTATGAATTAAACGGGTAAAATTTGGTATCTAACGTGCTCTTAGAAATTAATTTCTGAATTTCTTAACACGGAAGATCGAAACGCCACTGCGTTTAATAGATTATTTAGCTCACTTCTAAAAACGTTGCATTCCATAAATTTAGATAAATCAATTTAATTTTATTTATTTCCTTTATAAATGTTTGCCCCTTCGTAAATCGTAAAGTTATACAATTTTTAAATTATATGCCGGGCATTTTGGTGTTTGCAAAAATAGTGCTCATGCGTTGCATGTATTTTTGTGTAAAAGTAGCACTAAGATATAGCAAACAGTTCATAAATATTTCACTAAAAAATTTTGTAACAGAAATGTGAAAGGGATGGAAAATATTTACATCCCTAGAGCTCTTCTACGTGTAAAGTGCTTTGAAAATAAAAGTTTACAACGCAGGAATATCTGCACAAGATGAATTGATTGTTTATGGTATTTTGTACGTATTTTTATGAGGATAATTTAAAAGTAGTAGAGCCTGGGTGGAAAATCATTTTACGATTTTTAAATATTTTCTTCAATTATTTGATTTCAAATCAAATGTTGAATATTCAATTTCTTTGAATATTTTTACTTGAATATTTCAAATATAGTATTACGATATATTTTTGTATATCACTCTCATTGTGTATTTTTGCACTTTCAAATTTTCCATAAATGCAAAAGAATCTGCGATCCAATTATAGGAATTAAAACTCCGTGTGAAGAAATTCGATATGAAATTCTGATAAAAAGAAGAGACATTTCTTAATGCGAGTATAAATATGTGCATTTCATATTTTTAATAAAACATTTACGAACTTTTTGCTACATGTATTTCAGTCTTATTTTCCCCTGTAGAACATATTGGCAAAGCTCGAATTCTGAAATGCAAAACGCAACCTTAACTTTGCATTATATGTAATATTATTATTTATTAATAAAATGCAGCTTTTTATGCATTTATGAATAACTTGGAGGTGCAACATTGAACGAAATACATGAGATATTCCAAGCATAGTGCATCTTATCATATTTAATACATAAAATGATTTCCTACCTAGATTTTCATTAAAATATAAAATTATGTGTGTCTCAAAAACATTGCATAGCTTTTCTCTCATTGTTTCCTTCTAATTTTATTAGAGTTCCATTTAATTTTGTTTTAATAGAGTTTAAAATATTCTTTCACGTTAATTGCGATAGTTCGTGTGTATTTTCATTTTAACTTGATAAATTAAAATTCTGGAATATAAACGTCAAATAACGCCGTTAATTAATAAATAAGGTGTGGTATATGCACAGTAGCCATCAATTTGAACTAAATTTTAATCAGTTTAATCAATAGATGAACTCTTGCTGGTTGAATCCATTTATTTAAATTTAAACTATTACTATGAAATATGAACGAAAAATCACTAATATAAGAGAGACTGACAATTAATGGACTTCAATTTGTATGAACTCCAATTGTGTAAACTATTTATACTCTGACAAATTCATGTGAGCGACGTACTGCAGATTCATGCAAATCTACTGTAATATACAGTTTATTTTAAACAAATATTTACATTAAAGATGCTTTAACAAATATTTTATCACGTGTTGTAACAAATATTTTGTCACAAGTAAGCAACTGCAATCACAGAATAGAATTTTGTAATTTCTCTCGTGTATGTACTCGTAAAATATTGATTGTAAAGCTACGTACGTTGTAATATTCCATGGTTAATAAAAATTTCATCAACGTCGTGAAATTTCCTTCTTGCGATAACGTGTCTAACCACGAAAATGATTAAACATTGAATTCTCTTTCACGGTCCTGAAAACTTTATACACCTTAGGATAGACATTATTTATATTATTGCAATACTCGGTCTACAATCTGGTAGGTTTGTGTTTCTAATGATGCAGCGCAAACGAGCTTGTAATAGCGGAATTGCATGCAGTGCATCGTTAGAAATATGAACCTGACTCAGCGCCGTCATTGTATTACGTTGGCCAAAAAGTAATGGCGTTTTCTTTTTGTGCAAATGGAAGACGATTTTTTCATGAGAAACAACAGAAACTTTGTTAGACAATCTATTGGCCATTTTGTTCGAGTACCTTTCGCCATCTTTCAGATGCAAATCTTCATGATTCATTTTTCTTGAGAAAAAAACAAGCCATCGGTAGTGAAATTCAGTAAACAAATTTCGACACTACTGACGTAGTTTAAATAGACTTTTTCATAATTTTTTATGAGCTTGCACAACATTTTTTTTTTCTTTTTTGAAAGCAGTACAGCAAAATGGGACGAAAATTTTTCTTTCTGATCTTCCACTTTGAAATCGACACCAAACACACAATTGTTAATGAAATTGTTCCTTTTTTTTTAAAAAAACAATCAGGATCATTGCACAACGAATTTGCGGTTTAGAATGAAATTTTGAGAGATAAAATTATACTTTCGTCGCAACGCGGTTTTTACAATTTTGGCGAATGAGTTTTTAAGGAAACAATTCATTCTATATCAATGGTCAAAATGTAATATTTCAATGACACAGTTGAACTTTACATTATATGTAGGGAACGGTTTGGTTTAAATATATAATTTCGAAGTATTTAGCATTTGCCTAGTAATGGGCACGTTACATCTGTTTCATCGAAATGCCAATACCACGACACTGTTATCGTTCGACCTATCGTTTTACTATGTTTCAATGTATCGAAATTACACATCGAAAGTGGACGACAAGAAAGTGACGGTTTTGCTCGTTTTATTCTTGCAGAAAGATCCACTACGATGACGACGATTACGTGGCGTTGAACGTGGCGGATGAGTTGGAAGAAGAGGAGATCTTAAGCGGTACCGAGAAGATCGAGGCACCTCGGGCGAAGTATCATCGTCCCCGCAGAAAGAGGAAACGGAAGCGACGTAAAGTTAACAATACCGGTCCTCAAGAAGAGCTCGTCGATCCCGAAGAACTTCCACCGCGCGCTCGTTGGACGATCGTCGCGACAGCCTGCCTCCTTCTTACTATGTCTTTGCTCTTAGTCGGGGTTACGCTCAGAATGGCGCCAATCATCGATGATATGGGTGAGTGACCTACTCAAATGACTCGGAATTAAAATTAGAAACACGAATTTTCATTTTACAAAAAAAAGGAAATAAAAACGAGACGAGACTTCGTCGTGTTAGAAACGATAGAGGAGAAGGCGATATTACGAATAATATTTTCATCATTTTCGTATTTATAACAAAAATATTTGTAAGCACATTCTCCTTTTAATAACTGCTGAAGAAAATATTTTCATTGGATGTCACAAAGTTGTTGCTAATAATGAATAATTTAACCCGCGAATAAGGCAATGATTCTGTTTAAAAAGGAACATTTCTTGTAAGTCAAGAAAGTTAAAGAATTACACTCCGGGA